GCTGAACTCTCATGTAGTCAACCACAGTTCGAGTCCCAGACCCGGTGGCTTAAACTCACGCTGGGTGCATGTGCATGCGTGCCCAAAATCCAGAGAGAATGGAGGAGAAAGGACTGCAACGTGGCCATCCCCCCAGGGTGATTTCTTGCTTTCTGTCTCTGTCTTTCCAGTAAGTGCACATACCCTGTAAGAAAAATCTAAAAAAAAAAAAGAGGGCCAACCACTACATCTCTACATCTCTGACTTCTCTGACTTTCAGTTTAGGCTTGAGCCCTGCACTTACTGCGTAAGGATCCCAAAGATATCTGGAGGCTCTGGAGAAGGAAGCAGAAACTGTGCAGGCAGCAGCCAGGAACTTTGACCTTTAATCGTAAGTTCCAATGTTTGGTCTGAACCCAGTCAACTGTGGGTACCACAGACACCTGTGGGCAAAAGTGGATGGAACCCCAGAGGTGCCTGCTCGCCTGAAAGCCACATCCTCAGCGTTGGTCAAATATCAGCATGCTGAGTAGACTTCCTGTGTCCACCAGGCCCAGCCTGGTGGCCTAGGTCTGACCCAGGGTGAGCATTGAGGCCCCCACTCCTCTCACTGCTGGACCTCGTCAGCTCCAAGGGCCAGTCCAGCCCCACAGAGAACTCGCTGTCGGTCACGGGCCTGAAGTCTTGGGAATACGCTTCTGCAGGAGAGCCCAGGCTTTCTCCACCTTTGGACAGGTCAGAATGTTGGGAGGAAGAGGACAGCATCAAGCAGCGCCCACTGGACACTCCCTGCCCACCACCAGCCTTTCCCAGGGCACTGACCTGGAGCTGGGTGATGTGCGGCTCCCACAGGGTGCTCAGCACCACGTGGCTCTGGTCCACAAGCTGCTGCCCGCTCATCTGGCTCTGCAGCCGGCTCTGCGCAGCAGCTTCACTCAGGCCATCTCTCTCCACGATGCGTCGCACTGCCTGGGCACAGGGCACAGAGGTGGCGTCAGGATGAAGCCCAGTCCAACCCACAGGCGCACAGCAGAGCCCAGTCTGCAGGGAGGCAAGGCCCAGATACCTCAGTCTCAGGGATGACAACGGTCCACACCTCATGTACCATGTCCTGCCAGCCGGCTTCCAGCAGCATGGCGGCATCAATCACGCACACCTGCTTTCCTGTGGGGAGATCCTGGTCACTGCCAGCAGCACCCTGCCCTTGCTTCCTATAGAGCCCATAAGCACAGTCCTGGGGAAAGTGGGCAATCCGGCCTGGGCAGGGACACTCCTGGGGGAGAATCTGCTCCCCTGACCCCTGGTAGCTCCCATCATCCCGCCCACTTACCCTCAGCCACAGCCACAGCCATCTCCTCTTGGGCGAGCTTTGCAATAACTGGCCACATGATGTCCGTGAGCATCTTCAGTTGCTTCTGAGGAGAGGGGTAGTGGGGGAGGATAGAGATTACCTTCTCTCAGAGACAGCTCGAGACAGTGGTAGGGAACAGGTGAGTGGGAACAGCATTCGGGCGAGATCAGAGAGGCTCACTGGATCCCAACCCCTGGGTCTCGGAGCAGCTGAGGAGCCCTGGAGAGCTGTGTTTACCTTGTTCCCGAACACCCGGCTGCCCAGGACCTTCCTGTTGATAATCCCATCTTTGTGGAGAATATCTGGACAACAGAGATGGAGGACTAAGCGAGGAGGCCATATCATCTCGTTTCAGGCCACCTCCAGCCCTGCCAGGTATTTACCTGTTCCAAAGGCCTCCACCACGGGCTGGTAGGCCGGGCCACCCGGGGCGTAGGCCCGATGGCCCAGTTGGTCACTGTCAATGACAAATGCCCCCAGGCCCTTCAGCCGCTGAGCTATTGAGCTCTTCCCAGAGCCACTGATGCCAGTCAGCCCAATCACGTAGAGACCCGGGGGGAGCTCTGGCCTCTTCTGGGGGTAGATGAGAGGGAACCCCACAGTTACTAGGGTCCTCAGGCTCATGTGTGGGGCTGCAGGCCCAAGCTTCTGCCCTCCAGCATTTCCAGCACTCCACATGGAGGGCGGAGGGGAGGAGCCAGGCAAGGCTTACATGTGGAGGCCGAAGCAGGAGTCCGAGCATGCGCTGGCGGAGGCTGGAGGAGCTGACTTTGTCCTCTTCATTCTCTTTGTGGTCCAGGTCCTTCAGCAGTTGGATCTGGTACAGGGCGAGCTCTTCCAGGTTCTGAGGTGAAGGGTGAAGGTAGGAAGAAGGCAGGAGGGAGTGAGAGAAAGCAGAGCAGATCCCAGCAGCCAACCTGCCCCTCACCCTCCTTCACCTACCCCAGGCTGCTCCTCCAACTCGGCAGCAAACATGAACCAGTTCATCCGTGTTCGTCCCACCACCCTAAGCCCTCTTCCCTCCTCTAGGGCTGTGGTACCTCCACAGCCCCCACGGTGGCCTTCCCCATCCCCATCCACCCCCTCTGCCAGTCTCCCTCAGGGGTTACATTCTCAAGGCGGAAGCGGTTGACGGCCATCCCCCCACGATAGGTCTCCTCGCTGACCACCAGGAACTCCAGGGAGGGGTCAGAGCCAGCCGGCCCATAGGGGTCCAGCAGGGGGACGACATCAAAGGTCAATGAGGGCTTGATGTCCACCAGGAACTCACTCAGATGTTCCACGCGCTCTGCATAAGGTTGGAGCAGCTCAGGGAGCAACTTGCCTAGGGGAAGACAGGCAAGGACAGTGACAACTGTTTACTGGGGAGGAAAAGCATGGGCCAGCTGGGGGGCGAGCATCCCTGAGCACTGGACCTCCTGAGTAGCGTGGCAGGAGGAAAGGGATAAGCCGAGATGGTCTGTGCAGGGAGAGAGGTGCGCACGAAAGGGAAAAAACAGGCACACGTGATAATCACAGCAAGGACTGGCATGTGGCCAGAGAACTAGCAGTGGCAGTGGGAATCAGTCACCCTGAACAGCACCATCCTCAAGTCCCCTCTTGTTGTCTGTAGCACTGCCACCCACTCACCCATCCACTTACTCCACATCCCAGACCTCAGAGCTCTCTACTGGAGAGCCTGTGACAGTGTGGCCTCCTTGGCGCCACACCTGGGCAACTCTGATTGAGTGATGATTGGACAACATGCTGACAGAGGTGCATTTTTTTTAAAAAAGAGATTTGTTTGATTGTTTTTAGAGAGATTGTACTATAGGGTGCATGCACCCATCAGAGAGAGAGAGAAAAGGCAAGAAATCCTCCCGCTCCCAACACACGGCCATGCCACAATCCCTTCTCCTTCATTCTTCTCTTGGCGTTTCGGGCACACGCGCACAAGCACCCGGCCTGACTTTGAAGCCGTTTTAAGCTGCTGGGTCCAGCACTCGAACTGCAGTAAACTACGTGGGAGTCCAGCAACGTAACCATTACACCATTTGCTAGTCCCGAAGGGTGCATTTAATCACTTAACAAAAAAATGTTCTCAGCAAGCGACAAGGTGGTTAAGGTGCTGGACTCCCACATGGCCAAACAGGGTTCAAGTCCTGAACCTGGTAGCTTGCTTTCTCACTCTCGTGCTCTGTTCAAATTGAATAATAATAATAACTAATCATTCTTTTTTTAAAATGTCCTTAGCATCAACTGAGTGTCAGGTGCTGTGAGTTTTGGGAAAGGTGGGAAGTACTAGATAGCCTGCTCTTCCTTGATCTTGGCAAAAGTGGGTGGGACAAAGAGGCCTGGGGGGGCCTCCACGACCTAACCCAGGGTCTCCCTTACTCACTCTTCAACAGATCTTTGTCTGCTACTCCCACCACAAGCTGCTCCTGAGCCAGGATGCACGCGACACTGAGCAACACCTTGTGGGCATTGTGCAGGCGGTCAAATGTGCCACCCACAGCCCCACGGTGGTAGCCACGAACAGGCTGCTTTGGAGACCTGGCTACGGGGGAGGCTGGCCTGATGGTGGAGGGTAAGGGGACATCCAGGGGCTCCACAGGCAAGTCTCCAGTCCCATAATCAGGGTACAGCAGCACTGAGACTAGCTGGGGACAACAGCTGTAGCAGCTGGTGGCGTAGCGTTCTAGCTGTTGCTTGACCGGGTTGTACTGGCTTCCATCCAGGGTCTGGAAGTCAGTGAGCACCACTTCCGGTGGGTGCGCCAGGTTCTGGACTGAGCTGGGCAGGGGAGGGAGAAACGTGCACTTGGTACGGATGTTGGTCAGCAGGATTCTGACGTCCAAGTGTCTGTGGACGTCGGCGCCGGCATAGAAGTGCGTGATGAAATCAAGAACCTCAAACGTGGCCTGCACGGGGCTGGACTGGGGCTGGGCCGGGCCCTCCAGGCTCATGCCCGGCTGCAGGTGTACATACAGCGTGTGATTCACCAGCCGGGCCGCTGACGTCAGGATGGGGGCCAGACGAGGGGCCAGGGAGGCCAGCGGCGTCGTCAGCACCAGGAGGCCCGACCGGAACAGGGCCATGCTGCCCAGGCCTGTGGACAGCCAAGGAGATGCGAGGGTGACGGAAGGGCCGAGGCCTCCTTGGACCCAGGAGAGCCGGGCTGC